AAAAAAAAAGAAAAAATTCGATCTTTTTTCTCCTAGTTTTTGGTTTTTGTCTTCTTTTTTTTTTCTTTTGTTATTTTTTTTCTTTGTATTTATCACCAACGATAGATTAAATTTAACTACGATGAGAAATCCATTTGTCTGTCTCGCTATTTTTTTGTAATAAGAGTCCTTTTGACCATCATTAGCAACAACAACAACAACAACAACGACGACGACAACGATGACGATAACAAGAACAACAACGGCAACAAAGTCGTTCGTAAATAACGTAACACACGAATTTATATAGATGAACTCTCGGAAATAATGGTCTTCGATGACGATGACGATGATGACAATGATGACGATGATGACGACGGTAGAGACTCCATTTAATTGTCTTCAATAAAGTACTTCGTAAACTGTGGCCTTTTTGTCACCAGAACCTGTCACTATATATTTGTCATCCGCTGAGATGTCACAGCTTAGCACCGATGACGATTCCTTCGACTGAAATCAATCGATAATCGAACATGTCCAATAATCAAAATATCATCCACAAACAATGGAAATAGATAGAAAAATATAACGGTTAAAAATAATAAGTGCGACGAGAGATAAACGGATAAAAACAAAACAAACGTACGCTAGTAGTCCGGATATACCCCACGTCATTTAGCGCGATAAAAAAAAAATTTCAACGTAGGTAAAAAAAAGCTTTGCTCTCACACTCTCACATCAAATTTTACGTTTGCGAAGCCAATTTCGAGTGGATATCGAAAATATTAGTATTACGTATCTACCTTGTCGTATCGTATGTATCAAAGTATTACCGTATCTACGAATTTTACTTTGCGAAATGATTTCAACGATCGCGAACGCACAGTTTATATATTATCAGATAAAATCTAAAAGGGAAGGAAAAAAAAATTAAAAAAAAAAAGATATCGTATTTTGGTTTCCCCAAAACTGCACACGGGATTTACGGGAGTAGAAAATAAATAAAGAAAAAGAGAGAGAGAGAGAGAGAGAGGTAGAGAGGTAGAGTGCCAAGCGGGATGTAAAAATACATTTTTGGAAACACGGTTGACAATGGAAGGGCTATAGATCTTTCGAATTCGTAACGAGAGTTAGTAGTAGTAGTCTGGGGGCTCGAAAAATCGAATATCGCGATTCAAACGAATTTGAATTTTTATTCAAAAGTGTAATCGAAACGAGATCATCCGCTTGATTTTTTTACTAGTCGACCGATAGACATTTTAACTCTTTTCCCCGTTCAATCTCGTCGTGAAAGTGAATCATTTTTATCACGCATTGAATATATATATAAAATTTGTATATAAATATTTATCAAAATAAATAATGTTTCTTACCTGGAATATCGAGGCACCATAAGGCGTACGCCATGCGTTCAAAAGGTTGTCTTTTCCCGTCGAGACGAACCATTTGCCGCTCGAAGCAAATTTCAAAGATAGTACACAGGACTCGTGCAGATGCAGCTGATACTTGTCAGGTTTTAGAGCGTGTAGCACCTCAACGTTGGAATTCTCCATGCCGACGGCTAGCCAGTCGCCAGTGGGGCAGTAACCGAGTGAGAAAATTTGCGACGTGAAATCGTGTTGCTGAAGTTGTCGACCTTCTCGTAAATCCCAAGAGCGTACCGTGTTATCGAGACCACCAGTCCACAATTTCGAACCATTTGCAGAAATATCGATGCAAGAGGCACCATCCGTGTGACCTTGGAATTGTCGAACCAACGCTTGATTTTGAAGATCCCAAACTGCAATGTTTCCATCACTGCAGCAACTGAAGCAGACTTTTGAGTCCGGAGATATTGCCAGGGCATAGCACGCAGGTGCCGATGAGGTTAATTCTGCTTTGATTCTTGGCGTTGGACTCGCCAAATCCCAAATACTCAATTGACTTGCTTCCCCACCAACTATCAATGTCCTACCATCGGGTAGTAGCTTCACTGATCTGTATTATTTCCAGAGAAAAAAAAAAACCAAAACAATAATGCAATGCTCTCGCGTCCATTGGAATGACGTTTTTCTGATAATTTATCATCGTGGAATCAAAATACCATCATTTAAATAACGCGATAATGTAAGGGAATACTTTAGAGATGATTATGTAGACGGTGGTATTAAAATTCGTTCATCGGGAGATCGTATTTTCAACGATAATTAATGCATGCTCACGGAGATTTTAATCGAACAATAGCGCGCCAAATTTACATATAAGCGGGCTAAAATATATCAAATCCAGTAAAGGCTTTATAAAAGAGAGAGAGAGAGAAAGAGAGAGAGGAACGGGAAACGTGATTGCAAGAAACGTGTATGAAATTTAATTAACATACGAGCATTAACGATCACACAGCGGAGGAGCGAAACGCGAACAATTTGCCGCTTGGAATTTTATTACAATGCAAAAATACGCTTGACGTTCGTAAAATATCGAAAGAGAAAGAGAAAGGAAAAAAGAGAGGGGGGAGAGAGAGAGAGAGAGAGAGAGAGAGAGTAAAAGAGAGTTCTGCGCGAATTCTGGTCAATTCCTGCGGTTTTGTTTTCATTATAAATCACTGCCGCTTTTCGAATGGTTATTAATTTTTCAATGTAACATCATAATATACGCGAATGCCGTTCATCCGTATTTTTCACGCGATAAAAGTTCAATTTTTACGTTTACGTTGTTTCTTGTGACTCTATTATTGAGTATAAAAAAAGGATGGATAATTTCCACGTACCTGATGTAATTTTCACGTTGCAAACAATCAAGCTGGGAGACAGGTTTCGCACTACCAGTTCCACCCTGACTAATGTCCCAGACCTTGACGCATCCCTTGCCTCCGGTATAAACGTACTTGGTAGGATTAGAGATCGTGACCGCGCACACGACCTCGCCGTGACTTAGAGTATTAATCTGACGGGCGTGACGAGGTATCCCGTTTGCCATCAAAGCATCTAAAGGGAAGCTGGCTGGTTGCAAGTGTCCATCGCCCGACACTTGGAAACTGTAAGCTCTGTTGGACAAAAGTCAAAGACGAAATAGATGAATATTATTATTGATCATTGATAAATTTCGGATTGAGGAATTGGTACTTACGGTTTGCCGCCTGGTACACCAACTGCTCCCACAATAGGTGCTCTCATCGTTCCGTGGGGATCATAAAGTTGTTGAAGAGAAGGGGGTGCTCTAGGTGCCGCATAACCGTTGTAGCCGATCATGTCAACGTGAGGATGTTGAGCAGCTGGCCCAAGATGATGGGGAGGTGGTCCAGGTGGATAATGAGGAGGGTAAGGACCAGGTACTGCACCAGCGGTTGGTGGACCTTGTAAAAGTTTAGCCGAAGTCGATGTTTTTAAACCAGCACTAGCACCACCACCAACACCGGCACTACCAGCACTAGCACCACCACCGACAACCGAACCAGAAGTAGGCGTGAGAGACTTCGAGATAGGTGTCGTTGCTTTCTCACGTTCTTCCATTTTTTTAGCCGAAGGTGTGCTCGCATTGCTACTCGTCCCACTTCTAGGCGAGTGCGGTGTAATGTCTTTTTTCGTTTGCACGCTGCTACCCAATGGTGCCACTACCACCTTGTCTATACCATTTTCTCGGGGAGACGACCTTCCATTGACAACTGGACTCGTCGGACCCTCGCTCGCATCGTCCACCACCAGATCCTGATCGCTCTTCTCTCCGTCGCTCTATTACAACCAACAAGAAAAAAAGAAATAAGAAAAACGTGATTCTCCAACTCTAACAAAATACTCTTCGTAATTACCTCCTTCTACGATAGTTATTATCTAATCGAAATTACCTATGTATAGGGGCTCTCTCTAATGCAACTAGCGACACTCGATAGGAATCTAATTAGCGATAGTGATCTAACCTGCCTTACCGAGCAACCGATTAATCGGGGATTTCTTCGGAACGACTAAATTATAGTCTTCTCCAATACCAAAGATCCTATCGTTTATCGCACGTAGTATATATATATATACATATATATATACATGTAAGTTATCTACACTATGAAATGTGAAACTTACGTGTCCGATGTCCTTGTCCTGTTCCTTCTTCATTTTCTTTATATGCATCGAGTGATCGTGATGGTTCTGAGAATGATGACCGTGATGGGACTCTTGCGGTGTTCGTGGTCGATTGTACTTGTCACCGGGAGATATGGAACTTCTCTGTAATATGAGAAAAATGTTCCTCCATTAAAATTTTTTTCTTTAATTTATCATTAACAAAAAAAAAAAAAAGACTTTATCAAGAAAAAATGAAAGAGATTCAAAAGAGTCAGGCAGCACCTAATACAAAATTTTATTCTATTCGAATCGATAAATGATAACATGAGAATGATATCTTATATTTTTTTTTTTGTTACCAAATGATAATACGAACAAGAAGTTTTCTACATGGGATGTTACGTGACAAACCATAATTATCTACGTCGATGGTTATTAACAATCGTCAGGCGAGCTTTCGCGGTAATCGATTTCGATTTTAGCGCGGGCGACGTTGAAACGGGGAACACGATTCGTTCGTAAAGCTCGTACTCGTTTAGAGCCCAGCCCCCAGCCACTACCACCACCACCACCACCACCACCACGAGGACGATATTAAAATGTAATTTTGGCTGTCAGCGCGATTACCGCACTATTAACGATCTAGTCGAGTCCACTTTTATTATCCTCGTGCTTGCTCTCGTCGTTCAATCCTCCTCCTCCTCCTCCTCCTCTTCCTCCACCTCCCTATTCGTTCCATCGATCCAATGAATTTCACACATTTTACATTTTACACACGTATTAATACCTACAAATTTTTCCCCTTTTTTCTTTTTTTTTTTTTAATTTTTCACGATTTTTAATATGAAAACATAAAGTATCTATAAGTGAATACATTTTTTTATCACCCTTTTTTTTTGTTTTACACCTACATAATATTTTACGTGAAAATCACATGTGAGGGAAGGACCGATAAGTTGGAACCAAAAAAAAAAAAAGAAAAGGAAAATAAAATGATAGCCGATATTTGTATATAAAAATTTTACGAATCGCAAAGTGGCACGCGTCTTGGACCATCGGTCAAGCTTTAATAAAGCATAATGGAATTCATGGATGGGAAGAGAGAACAAGAGGGAAGAGAAGGTAAAAAAGGGTTTTGTGAAAAAAGGAAAAAATAGGATAAACCGCGGTGGCCTGAAGGCTTGCGAACGTGGCTTTTCTCTCTTTCTCTCTCTCTCTCTCTTCTCTCTGTCTAAAGAGAGTGTAAGAAGAGAAAATGAGCTGCGAGACGAAAAGGGACAGGAGGAAAGGGTTGGGGGTGGAGAAGAAAGGGGTCGGTCGGACTCTGGTAGGGCCGATAATGATTATAGAGTGGGCATGCATAACCTACGGCTGCTAGTGGAGAAAGAAAGAAGGAAAAAATGAAAGGGAGATATATATATAAAACGAAAGAAAGAAAGAAAGAAAGAAAGAAAGAAAGGAGGGAAGGTAGGAGTAAAAAAAGAAGAAAAAAAATGATAGAGAGAAAGAGAAAAGGATGGAGGACACACGAGCAGCAGGCTCAGAGAACGGAACGGAACGAAACGGAACAGAACGGAAAGTGCCTCGAGCACGAAGAGAGAGGAAGAAGAGAGGAAAATAGAATAGCAAGACGCGGAATGAGAGGGCGTCGGTGGGCGTTTCGCGGTCCTGCGATGATTACAGACCCGGCAAACCTATAATACACGCTCCGCACTCCCTTCTCACCCTTCTTTATGGCCTACCTTCCTTTCTTTCCATTATTTTTTCCGTCTCACTCTTACTTCCTTTCTTTCTTTCTTTCTTGTCTCACAAACGATCCCTTTTTCCCTATCACCCACCTTCCCCTACTCCCCCCCTCACCGCCACATCTCTTTCCTCTATTTCGTTCTTATTCTTCTTCTTCTTCTTCTTCTTCCTTTCTCACCCTTTCTCCATTTACCTATCATGCTTTTTCACGCGCAATAACACGTTCTTCTTCTTCTTCTTTTCGCTTCTATTTAACAATTTTGTTTTTCTTTTATTTTTTTTTTTTATTTGTGGCATCATAAACGTCTCGGAAGTACTTTGCAAAACATGTCTCTTTATTCTTCTGTAATTTGAATTCTTAACATGTAAAAGAACTTAACCGATTCGTATGTAGGAGTATACCCATAATATATATGAGTGCACATTCTACATATTTACATTTATACGTATTTACATATTTCACGTAATACATATTAATGCATTTCAGTGTTCGCACAAGCACGTTATAAACAACACTGGCGAGGGACTGCCACTCTCTCTCTCTTTCTATCTCCCTCTCTCTGTTTCCTCTCCTCTCTTTGAGAATTGACCGAAGGCTCACGTTGCTAGGATAATTAATTCTTCGGCCGAATTAAATTAACGATCGAATCGAAACATGGAAATTATGTATATATGAGTAAATGTTGCGTGTATGTTGAGAGTGTTATACATATATATACATATATATATACATAGAATCTCACACACATACTTGTCCCGATGAACGGAAGATATGTATATCGAGCATAAATTTAACGCTTCACATTCTCTATACGTTTCTCTTTCCTTCTCTTAGAATAACAAAGAGATTACCAGGTGCGCTTAAAATTCATATTTGAATTCGTAATTTCATTTCGACAAGGTGAAAACGGACAGGTAATTTTACGGTGACGGAGAAAGGTGGAAAATGCGTCTGTTACGTTTTCCCATTCTCTCTCTTTCTCTCTCTCTCTCTCTCTCTCTCTCTCTCTTTCTATCTCATTCTCTTTCTCACTTTCGTGCTTAATCCCAGAACGTATATAGTAGTTGAACTTCACCCCCCTACTACCATCACTATTCTCTACGCTACTAGCAACTACTACACAACACAGCGGTTGCTCACGCTGTTAGTACTACTACTCTTCTCCATGTACTTTCTCTCTCTCTCTTTCTCTCTCTTTCTGTACGGCCACTTTCCGTGGCTCTCGAGCGTCCGTCGAAAACATAAATTGCACCGTAGAGAGCGCGTATATACGCAAAGCAGCAGCCGGCACGCCGGGGTATTCGTTCGTTGGGTTCGCTCGTTCGTTCGTTCGTTCGTTCGTTTCTACCACCCTTCGCGAGCACGAAAAGTTACACGCGTGTAATCTGCGTGTTATACACGAGGCTACGTTGAGTACCACCACGCTCGAGTACGCTTGCACGCGCTTCTCTCTGACTTACGACTTGACTATGTGCTTGTACCATGTGCCTTGTACTTGTACTTGTGCTTGTGCCTTGTGCTTGCTTGGCTATCACTCTTTCTCTCTCTCTCTAACTATCTCCATCTCTTTTTTTTTACAAAAGCACTATTTCTTTTCCATTTTGTTTTCTTCTTTCTTCTCATTCTTTTCTTTCCACCCTCCTCTCGTACCCATTTTCTTTCTTCTTACAAAGAGAACCCAAAATATGCTAATTACGTTGGACAAGTAGTAATCAGGAAACGGGAAGTTTTAAAAAGTCCTCCAACCTTTTCTTTCTCATATCTTCATTTTTAACGAAAAATACTATTTTTGACAGTAAAAACCGTTCTCATTTTCATCCTCATACTTTCCCCGTCATCATTCCCGTTGTCATTTACGCATTCCCAACCACCCTTCCGTCACCGACTATCAACGAGTCCAATTGCCACGATTTCACGGCTAATCGGATTATTAATTTGACGTTTCGATAAATAATTTATACGGCCAGTTCTCTCCGAATGAGAAATATTTAACGATGCGCGAGATCGCGTTGCTATAAATTTCGACGCGAGATTTGTACCCATGTATTTAGACGCACGCATGTACACATACATACATGCGTACATATGTGTATCTCTACTAGGTACGTACGAAGTAGCTACGTGCATATAAACGATGCAATAACAGCAATAACCGAGGCGAACGTTCAACGCGGAGCGTTGATTACGACCGCGAGAGAGAAAAAAACAAAAAAGAAAAAAAAAAATAAAACACAGCTTTATCGCCTTTCATCGCGCCGACATTCGACGCAGATAATGGGGAAATTCGTTACAATCGAGAATCGCTTGCAGCACGAACGAGCTTTCGAAAAAAATAAAAAAAATAAAATAAAAATATATTTAAAAAAAAAATAAAACAGAAAATATCGTTTAACTACATACATACATACATATGTATATATATATGTATATAATGAATATGTTATATTCTAAATAATATACATAAAGAGTATATATTTTTCTGATAGCAAAATTCATAGCTCGCGTGACTCCATTTATGAATCTTTCTCTCTTCCGAGGGAATTAAGATGCGAAAAAAAAAAAATCGAATAATTTTTCTTTATAATTTGAGTTTAAAATTGTTCGCCTACTCACATGTCTCTCCTCGGTCGAGCTAAGACCTGCAACAGAATAAAAAAAAAATATCTCGTTAGCCCGACTCTTTTTTTTCTTTGTTTTTTTTTTTTGTTTTTTAATGGGATAAGAATAATCTCGACGTTCAATATGGTCATGTACAAATAATTCTTTTATATATTTTAAAAATCATTATTTTTCGCATTTAATCTAACCCCCACCACCCTTTCTCTCTCTCTCTCTCTCTCTCTCTCTCTCTCTCACTTGTACTTTATATCCTTTTTCATTTCTTTTTTCCTCTCTTTTTTTTTCTTTCTTTCTTTTAATCATCGAAAACGATTTTTTCTCTTTGTCCGACGAAGCGTGGAAAGAGTCGAGAGAAAAAAAGAAAAAAAGGAAAAAATGGCAGTGAGCGGAAAACGTTATACCTACTACACGCGCGAAACGCGTCGATAAAATGTTAATAACATAGAAAGGGATGTGCACGAGAGGTCTATGGAATCCAAAAAAAAAAAAAAAGAGAGAGAGAGAAAGAGAAAGAGAAAGATGAGGTGGAAGGGAGGAGGAGGAGGAGGAGGAGGAGGAAGAGCAGAGGGTGAGAGAGGGAAAACGGCACCCGTATAAATGATCTTCATGCATATTTATGCGCTTTTCGCTGAAAACCGCTGGTGTACGCTCTAACAGGGTGACGCAACACGCTTTCGTCTCTCTCTCGAAAGCGGATACCCGAAAAGCGCTTTGAAAATTTCCGGGCAAGCGAACCAACTCGTCCTGTTCTATCCCATCCCCACCCAATAACCCCCCTCTTACCAACACCTCTTCCATCCTCCTCATCCTCACACCCCCTGGCACTCTCTTTGCGTCGCCTAGACACTACATATTTTTTTTAACGTCATGCACGTTGCACCTCCGATGCCTGCCCTCCTCTCTTTCCCTCTTCCTCTCTCTGTCTCTCTCTCTCTCTTTTACTCGAACCCCTTCAACCATCATCACCACCACCACCATACCACCACCAACGCCTACCAACACTATCCCACATCATCCCCTTTATCAACGCCTGAACGCAAGCTTTTCATTCAACGCGGGAAATGATATGTGTGTGTATGTGTATGTGAGTGTGTGTGTGTGTGTGTGTGCATACGCGTCGAGTATCGCAAAGATCAAACGAGTTTCGTCTATGAAAGAGTAGAAAATTTCGTTTTTCTATCGGTACAATCCATGGAAATATCTTTGAATATTTCTATTTTTTAATTTATATAAATATATACAGGGTGTCATCTTAAATGCATTCTATAGTTGATATATCGATGATTAAATTTAATAAGAATAATTATTGCACATTTATATAATGACATTTATACTACAAATATTTTTTTTTTTTTTTATATATATATATAGGATTCATTGTTCAGCCCTTTCAGTACTACAACCGCCTATAAGCGGCATTCCTAAATACATCCCCCAGATCCTACTATTTTTTTTTTTTTTTTTTTAATAAACGTGACGAGAAAACAGTGAAAGAAATTGGTTGGAAATGATCTTTTTTTCTTGTTCTTATCTTTCTTTCTCTATCTCACGATCTTTCATATTGTACAAAGTAATTTCTTGCCATTTATTATCTCAAGGAAGTGTTCGTTTCGAATACTTCCGTAACATCATAGGTCGAATGCATAACCCGTAATTACCGTTGGTGGGCACATCGTGTCTTATCTTTTTCACCAATTTCTGACGTTTACATTATATACAATGGCACGAAGGCATTTCATATTGTTCTTTGGTTATATCAACTCGGCTTTTTACGATAACGATCATTGGAACAGAAAAATGGTCAAAGATCACGCATGAATATGTATACACTATATATATATATATATATATATATATATATATATATATATATATATATATATATATCCTTTTTTTTTATTAATTTCTTTTTACTGTTTTCGTGCTTCTACAACAAGTGTAGTATGACTCTTCTAATATACGTTGAATAAAGTAGAAAGAGAAGAAAGCGTGTTAAGTGTACACCCTGTATATATATTCATACAACTATAACCCGAATAAATTCCATATACTTTTCTTGACAATGTTACGATAAGAGGTTCGCGTGTGACGGTACCATCGTGAATTATCATGTCCCATCGAGACTTTCGCTCGACAACAACTCACCACACAAAGATACGCGACGACGACGACAACGACGACGAATGAACGTACCGAGTGATCGGTCACGAGGCATGTAACAACGCAATTCAACGCAACGCGGCAAGGCCCCACATTTACAATCATTATGCGGAGAAACGGAAGAAACACACACGCGATCTTTCGACTATTTCGCGGATAGCTAGCTAACCGAAGGGTGGGTATTACTGCACCACCTTCTTTAAAATGACAAAAAAAAACCGTGTCCTTCATTCCAAGCTATTAAAACGAGTAATACGTACTCCTATAATTTCTATCTACGAATGTAAACCTTTTTCACTCATCTAATTAACATAAGTCGCGTTTAATTTTCGTCCTAATCGATTTTCACGTTTAATCAAACGACAAATAAATTCTGTCTCACGAACCCCGCCCCTCCCCCTCCCCTCCCCTGACGTGTGCAAAAATAAATTCCCCCAAAGGAAACAAAAAATTGTAAAAAAAAAAATAATAATTAAAAACAAAGAAGAAGAAGAAAATAAAAAAGAAAAATATGAACATACTTGCGGATGGATATGAGATAGGCATATAATAATCTAGATTTGATAGATGTTCTATATAATCGCCTTGATGATATCTAAAAAACTGACCACCGTTGCTTTTAAGATCATCCGGTTGGCCACGATGAATCTCTGGTTTAGCTAACATCGAAAGAGGATGAGCAGTAGTTGTTCCTGGTGTAGCTGCTGTTCCCGGAGTCAATCCAAGGCTGAGTAAAGTTGCGGAAGTTGAAGTTGGTACCGGAAGACCACCAGTTGGTCCTAATCCAGGAAGACCCGAGATTCCTGGATGGGCAGCAATAGCCGCTCCTGGCAGTTGTTGAGCGTGTATTTGCTGCAATATACGTGGAATATCGGACCTCTGTTGTTGCAACGTCTGCAAGGAAAACATAATTATATTTAACGAGCGTGAACAACGTATGTATGTTTTATGTATTGGTATTCAAGTATATACGATGTATGTCAATGTTTTTTTTATTTCGATGCATTTCATACGTTCTTATAAGGACTTGCAAACTGATGACAACAGTGTTTACGATAGAAAAAGAAAAAAGAAGTAACAACATTTCCAACAGTAAATTTAAACCCACGATAGATTAGACGAGAACCAACTCGAGTTTAAAATTTGCTCAATAGATGATAAATAAGAGAATTGTATTGAGAAATCAATATGTGATTTATCATATAGGGGTTAATGTCCTAAATAAACGAACATTTATATGGACGTGTCAATAAAGTAATCCTACCCTCATTATTATCCACCCTTCTCTAAAAAGCAGGCAGGTACGGGTATATTTGTCCACAAGTTTTCGCCTTTCTCATATTACCCATCCTATCGAAGTAGAAACGTAAACGTTGCTAAACTAGTATTGTACGTTTGAGAAGGCACCGAGAAGAAAGACAGAGAGAGAGAGAGAAAGAGAAAAAGAGAGAAGAGATACAAAAGGCTATTATTCAAGTATGTAACTGCTACATGTATTATAGAAAGAGTGAGAAGGAAAGAATATTGATCGTGTTCTAGATAATAGGTTTCGAAAATAGAAAGCGCAAGGAAAGGAAGAGTCGATAGAAGCGACGAAGGGAGAGGAGAAGTAGGGTCGTTCGACAAGCCCTAGGGATTGCGACATTTGTATATATATATATATATATATATATATATACGTATAATTTAATGTAAGATAGTGTGCGTGTGTCGAGACGTAAACGTGAAAAGGGAAGGGTAGGGGGAATCCCGATAAACTCGTTACGCGTGCGAATCGTGCTTATCGTGGATTTCACTTTAGGCACTTAGGGGTGTGCAAAGAGAGAGAGACAGAGAGACAAGGGGAGAGAAGAGCCTGAGGGGTTTGCCAGCACTAGGGGTGGATTATACGAAATAATCCCTCTCGGGCTACGCGCCGATTGTGTGCGATAGTTATTTCCCCGTCTCCGCCCAGTGAACTCGCCCCGAAGGGCTGCGGATTGCCTTCTCTATGTAGGTTCCTTCCTTGCTTGGAATGAGTCGCCAGGAGAAGGTCACGTAGGTATATATATATATATATATCTATCTATGTATACGTATATATATACATAGATTCCCCCGTCGGTGCCAAGACCAGCCAACGTTTATCTCTCCGGGGACGTATTTGCGGCCCGCTACCGGCACGTACGTGAGGAAGTACCGTGCAATTTGCCCCCCGGCCACTCGACTTCCGGTTTAAGGGCCACACCGACTCGAGTTTCCTGTAACCCTCCAGAAAAGCCCCTCCTCCTCCTCCTCTTCCTCCTTCTTCTCCTCTTTCTCACCGAAGCTACCTTTCTACCTCGGCTTTGCGTCCGGATTCATCACGTGCCACTTCATTATCCTATCTTTATTTCCGCTTTTCTTTCCCTTTGCAAGTTTAATCCTTGCGATAATATGAAAATAAAAAAAAAAAATCGGAACTTTGTTCTTCCATAATTTAAATGACACGTACAATTTCTCCATCCCTCCAGTTTCGTCAGCTGTTAATTTGAATTCGAATACCAAATTCGAATTGGTTAGAAAGGTAATTAGAATCCCAAACGACATTTTTACGTTTAAGAATCGTCTGAACAAACGTTTATGACTAAAATTGTGACAAATCGAAATAATGAAAAAGATGGCAAGAAAAAATCCCTTCAAAAAGAAGAACTACAAAAGAAGGGTGGGGTTCTGTGCGTCTGGATTGAAAGTAAGGATGATTAAAGGCCTAAAGAGAGAGAGAGAGAGAGAGAGGTGAGACTATCACCCCTCCTTACCTGTGCGCGTTAAACGCATCGAGGTAAACGTGACAAAAAGCCGTGTGTGTTAGAGGGGGTTCTACATGAGCGAGTGTGAGCGAGCATGAACGTAAATGCATGTGTGTACGAGGGAGACAGTTCAATCGACAGAGACAGGCACAAACAGACAGAGAAAATGATAGATAGAGAGGGATAGATAGAAAGGGGATAAGGGGATAGGGAAGGGAAGGGAGTTCGAAGGGCTGATGCGTTCAGTGTGCAGTATTATTAAACGAAATATTGATTCAAGCCCTGTTTACCGAGTAATACATATTCATGGAGGGTTGGCGCTTCTGTCTATTTGCCCTCATCGCCTCCAGAACGCGTCTCCCCTTTCAAACTCACCCCCCCCTAACCCTCCTTTACCCTCTATTCCCTTTCGTCTCCGTCTCTATCTCTCCCTATCTCATTCTCTCTCATTCTGTTCTTTCGTAGGTTACTACCAATATACAACACCTGATTACTGAGAACCACAAGATCGTTTTTTTACCTTCCTTTCCCCCTTCTGCCTTTTTTTTTCTTTCTTTTCCTCAAACGATGAAGGTGGCCATCTTCCCTCGAACCTATCTTTTACGTTTATTATTCGTTTTTTATGATGTAATAAAATTACTATTGCTTATTGGAATTTCTATCCTTTCTCGATCAACTTTAACAAATGATGATAATTTCTTTTATTTACTTTATTTATTTTATAATATGTGAATTGTTTGTGTTTTCTTCTCTCTCTTTCTCTCTCTCTCTCTCTCTCTTGCTTTCTGTTAGAGAATCAGTTTCATTTGAAGAAATAATTGAAGTCAATTCTCGATATACTTGACGTAGACCAACCGAGGTTGATTTCTGTACACGTTCGTTTAGGATTTGCTATCGGGCGACTGGAAAATTATTCGAGTCATGCACGCGAAGAGATAGAGAGAGAGAAGGGGGGGAAGGATAAGGGTTAGGGTGAAGGAAGGGATGAGGGGTTTAGTACCAACTTGGAACTCAATTACACGCGACGGGTCACCACGGTCGCATGCCAATTTCCAACGAGTGAGCGTGCTTATCATATCCCGACCAAAATGCATGTTACCTTCTCTGACTTCTATAGAAGTATGAATGAAATAACCGTTGACTTAAAGACTTCGTTAGTTTGTTAACTTTTTTTTTTTTTAATAATTTATATTAATAATAATTGTCTTCGATATTTTCGATTTAACAATTTATCATTTGTGAGAATATTATATTCCAATTTTTATTATTTTTTTTTTTTTATTAAACGTTTATTGTGTTAAATGAAATAAAATACGACACACGTGGGTGTAAGATTGTAATAGTATTATTAAATTTACAAAAATTCTGTCTGTTAACCGTAATAAATGTAAATATTAAACGAATAATATATTTGTAATTAACATAAAAGAGATTAACCCCATTCTACCCACACCTTAAGAAAGATTTGTGTCATTATAATCGATAAAGATAAATGATAAACGAATAATGTAAAAAATGTCGCGAATTTTTCTTCGTTTTTTTAAAAAATATTAAAATCATACTCAATGAATAATTAATGAAACATTTGTTAGTCGCAATAAAATATTTATTCGTCAATGATAAGAATATCGTTGAAATAATTATTGTGCTATACGAATAAATAGATAAATTAATTATTAAAAAAATGAAAATCGAACTTACCCCAATTATAGAATTGAGTTCTCCCATTGTAACTTGTTTCGCCCTATCAACAGCCGTAGCAACTTGTTGTTGATGTTCCTGAGAAAGATACGGCAACATCTGAGCAATAATGGCGCTCAGTCTCTTCGATATCTCGGTCTGTGAAATCAAAAATCAAATCAAAAATCAAAATATAATCAACATTGCAATTAAATTCGTCCATTATCGTTAACGATGGATAGAGACGCTTCTAAACACCATGAGCAAGTAGAAAAATGAATTTAAAAAAAAAAAGAAGGAAAATGACAGATTTTGAAATTCTTTTTTTTTTGAGTTTGAGAGAGAAAATGCAATCGTTGAGTAAAGACAACCAGAAAGAGAAAGAGAAGGAGAGAGACAGGGTGATGAGTGAAATAGGGTTGGTAGAATGACGGGATGAAAGGAGAGAGGAAAGAGGGGGAGGGGAAGTTGAGGAAGAGGAAGAAGAAGAATGTATCGCGTTCCACGCTTTGTGTGAGCTTTTATAGAAATTATAAAGCACTTATACGTATTATAGTGCAGACGGTATAAAATAAAAAAGAACATCGTGGCTTAGCGAGAAAGCGTAATGCTTTTCTCTCTCTCTCTCTCTCTCTCTCTCACACACACACACACACACACACACACACACACTCTCTCTCTCTCTGTATCCTCTTCTTCCATTTTTCGCCATTATACGATGCTCGATGGCTGCAAACGATAGCTCTTCTTTCATATATATACATATATGTATATACACTGTGTTACACAAAGAAATATCTATATGTAATATTTACATATATGTGTGTATGTACACGTGAAAAACGTTTTTATAAAATCTCTTAAAATTGTTCTTTAAAAGACTCTATTCTTCGATCAGACAATCGATATTCATTCATTAAATTTATATCTATATTCAATTAGTTATATACTTAAAAAAAAACCGATGTTTCCAAATGTTACATTTTTCAATAGGAAATTAATTGATAAACGTTAATTGCATTTCTAAATTTTCTATCATATCACCGATCGATCTAACTTATAACTACATTTTTCAATCTTGTTTATTTTTGTTACTATCAAATTTGATTACAAATCAGCCACTGGGCGCCGTATCAGCGCCGCTCGAGTTGCCACTTAAATCTGCCAGGCGTTAATTCGGCACTACTTAAGTGCAAAGGGTTAATAAATTTCATTGAAACTACATTTGACTATATTTATTTTTTAACTTTAATACTATCGGTCCCAAAGATCGACGGTGGCCAAACGAAAAGTAAGGTGCTGGTCCCAAGGGACCGGCGCCGGCTGTCCTCAGGGACTGGCGCCGCACTTAACGTGTTAATGGTAAAATTCCAAATAAGATATAAAGATATATTTCGTTTGAAAGATGTAACAAAAAAAAGAAAAAAATGTGGGTTATAGAAGGTTAAGAGATCTTAAAAGACGTGTCATCGAACTTTTATGTAGCTTAAATATCGTTTTTAAGAGCCAAGGAAAGGAAAAAGAAAAAGAGACAGGAAAAAAAGGTAAAGTGATTCGGAGTTTCCTTGGAGTCAAGAGTGCTCGTATTTTGAAAGCTTGAAAGGACAAACTTATGTTAGACGAAAAAGAAGAAGAAAAAAAAGAGAGAGAGGTTACGCTTTCTTCTATTTTAATCTCAGCTAAACTCGTGCCAACGCCGCAGAAATGAAACCAAACGAGAAAGGAGAGAACTCTGAATTGAACGACGAGTAATGAAAAGAGATTAAAAATAAAACTGTCGAAATAAAGTACGGCAAAACATTTAATAAGAATCAAATAATACGTGGGTGGACATAATCAGATTTCGAGTATTATATATATATATAGTAAATAAAATATTGATGAATGATACATTTTATTCGAAAAATCGTTCTATTTGCTTTCAAAGTACGAATCTTTATTTAATCTTGTTTTTTTTTTTTTTTAAATAAATCATCTCGAGTTGAAAAGTTTTAATAGACATATTATAAATCACAGTAATTATGTTTACGTATAGAATAATAAAAAGTATATTAATATATTAACACACTATCGGCGGGTCACGTATTAATACGTTTTATGCAGAACGTAAGCTAAGTTTGAGTAGAACACTTACTAATGCTTGTGTTTTTTTTTTTTCATTGTCACTAATTTTTTAGCAGGTATGATGTTTTTGGTTGTTTCTTTTTTTTTCTTCCTTCTATGGGTTCGAGTCATTTTTCTAGAAAAAACCTTTTTATACCTATACAATATTATCTGCAAGTTTCGTGCTTACATAGTAGGATAAATTCAGTTGATTGATTTTGATAAGCATTGATTTTAAGTTTTGTACATCTTCGAAATACTATTGA